TTACTATTTAACTCTATTTGAATGTGTTTATCATGAATAAAATTCTTTCATATACAATCTCCATATGTGCAAATTAAAGCTGCGAACTTTTCTTAAATCTACGAATCGATGTAAGAGGAGTGTTGCTCATAACAACGTTTTTTTTTAAACTAATGAATAGGCATATGAAAGGAATGAACAAATGCAAATATACGTATAAACAATATGATTTCTACATTTCTGCTAGACACACACACGTGTATAGACATACATCTCTCTCTCTCTATATATATAAGTTTTGCTTTGAAATCTGTAATAACTTGAACATATGGTAATTTTTTCCTTGGTTAAAAGAATGAAGAAGAAAAAAAGAAGAAGCAGTTTCAAACAATGGCCGAAGAAACACAGATAACTTCATGACCAAATCGAAAAAGTATAACAGATAAACAACATTCCTCAAAACACTACACTGAAATGTACGAAGACTATCTAAAACCATTGGTGATCGCAGTTTCTCATGTGCCTGATATTCATATGATGTAGACATAATCTTTCAATCAGTTTAATTGAAGTCTGGAGCTGGCATGTCAGTTAACTGCTAGTAGTCTGTTGTTATTTATGTATTATTGTCATTTTGTTTATTTTCTTTGGTTACTTCTTCTGACATCAGACTCGGGCTTCTCTTGAACTGAATTTTAATGTACGTATTGTTATGCGTTTACTTTTCTACATTGGCTAGAGGTATAGGGGGAGGGTTGAGATCTCATAAACATGTTTAACCCCGCCGCATTTTTGCGCCTGTCCCAAGTCAGGAGCCTCTAGCCTTTGTCAGTCTTGTATTATTTTTAATTTTAGTTTCTTGTGTACAATTTGGAGTTTAGTATGGCGTTCATTATCACTGAACTAGTATATATATTTGTTTAGGGGCCAGCTGAAGGACGCCTCCGGGTGCGGGAATTTCTCGCTGCATTGAAGACCTGTTGGTGACCTTCTGCTGTTGTCTGTTCTATGGTCGGGTTGTTGTCTCTTTGACACATTCCCCATTTCCATTCTCAATTTTATTTCACAATATCAATGTTCAATCATCTGTGATAAAACATCTAATATAGATGTAATAATGTGCTAACATAAAACAAAATAACTGGATTTGTGATTAAAAGCACGTGGTGCAAACAGTATTCATTCGACTATTGAACAATGATCAACTGTATTCACTTTCTACATAGAAAAAAACATAGTTTTTGTGTAAGTATATTGTATATTCCTTAAAATACTTGTATTATCCCTTTTACAGTTATGATAAAACATTTTCTTCTGATTAACAGCAATCGATGTGTTATCTAATCAAAGAAAAACAAAATGATCCGTATATGTAGATGGTAGTATTTTGGGCAACTTCAAAAGTTTCATTAGAAGGATGATTCCTGACCAATACTACATTAATTGCTGTTTAAAATGATGAAAAAAATCCTTTGACCTTTAAATGATTAATTGATTTTATCTTTTACATATAAATATTGATACCTGAGGAAATATTTTGCTTTTAGTACAATTAGATCATTTTTGGAGAATTTTAAAGAATTAAATATTGCGCAATTAACTTTTCAATTTTATAATGATTTGGTATTGAGGTATTCTTAGTTTATATGATTTTTAGAAGAAAATGTCCTTCGAGAACCAGAATATGGCATTTCGTTTAATTATTGCGAAATTTGGGAATGTTTATATTTGACTTTTGATCTTGATTTAAAAAAAATCCACCGTATGAATTATTGACGACCAGGCAAAACAGAAAGTACAGATATTAAGCTTTCTAATGATATATAATATAGCCGTATGTTAGTTGGGTGCATTAAAGTTGTAAACTTAGCATCTTTTTTGAAAATTTGTCACTCGCTTATTAAAGGTTTGAATTAAATGCAAGATAATAGTATCAATAATGTCAATACTGCTGTTAAAAAAATTAACAATAATACTGAAAGTGACCTAAATAAATGTATCGTTTGTTTGGCCTTGTTAGTTTTATTCTATTTACACTTTTTAAATGTGATCATTTGCAATGGAACTTATTTTAAATAGGCGTTGCATTTGGTATTTGATTTCACCATACCTAAAACAAACTTAAATTTAAGGGATTAAAGACAAAATAAAAGTTGCTTGAGTCATTTGAAATTTGAATTTAATGCAAGATATGAACATCAACTTTTTAATATTTTAGAATGCCAAAGAGTTTTTGAACACATTTTGAGTCTGTTTAGCTATCGTCCCCTTTCACACTTGTCAGAATGTGATTATATGCAATGGGACTTTTCAGCAGGCTTTTCTTTGAGTGACAGACCGATACATTAGTCGAAAAGCAAAAGTAATATGAAACTGTTTATAATATTGAGGTTTATAGGCGTTAATTTTATAAAGTATGTGAAAAATTGTATCAAAATAGTAACAAACTAATGAAATCAAAATGAAATGAAAAGATAGCTGTTGCAGGACCAACCTTTAAAATGTTACAAGCAATTCAATCAGAACTTTTTTACAATAACGTTACATAGAAGATTTTACCATGTGTACTTTCAATGTTAATTATTAATGATGTAAATGTTACAAAAAGTTACACTGCATGATAGTATCACAAAGAAGACAATTTCATATGAATATGAATGGAATTCATGCCAAATAGGTACAAAAGCATGTACGAAGGTAGATGTAAAAATAATTAAAAAAAATGGCACCAATGTTGTATAATGCAAAAGTTTACCGTTTTGATTACATGGTCGTCTTTTAAAATAAAATTGAGAATGGAAATGGGGAATGTGTCAAAGAGACAACAACCCGACCACAGAACAGACAACAGCAGAAGGCCACCAACAGGTCTTCAATGCAGCGAGAAATTCCCGCACCCTGTTTTCCTTTTTTTTTTTTTGCGGTAACTCATATAAAGCCGCCTCCTCTAATTTGAAGGGTAAATATGCTAGATATACTTACTGGATATGTGATGAGATGGTTGAAGCTGTAAATTTTCTCCATGACAACATTTATGTACGTTCCGGCAATAAAATTTATCGACAGATTGTAGGTCAAATATATGTGCATTCCATCAATTAATTTGTTTCTAATACTATGAAAATAATTGCCTTGACTTTACTTTGTTAAATTTTGTTTCTAGCTCTTTATTCTAATAGAATAAAATGTAAATTATACCATGCCCATCTGAGTTCTTATGATTAAGAACTACCAGGCGTACGAATATTTATAAAGTGTCTAGAAAATCAACCTAACAATGTTATACTTCTCATTTGTACGACTATACCGCCTAGCATTGCGCAAACGCCTTATCCCCTCCTCTAACTGTAGCTTATAAAATCTGCTTTCGTTTCGGGAGGAAATACCTTCTCGTCGTAGTTATTAAACAAGGACATCTAATCACAATTCACGAAGTATTTTTAAGTGCACGGGAATTATCAACTTCTCATCTTTTCAGTATAGTTGTAGGATGCTATTCTATTTTTTAAGGCATACATTCACTATGAATTTATAATGAGATATGTATGCCTATGTGTTGTGACAACTATAAGTTATACCTTGTCCGTCGGATTTCTTACGATTAAGATATACCAGGCGTTAGGATATCTACAGAGTGCCTAGAAATTCAACCTAACCTAGCGTAGATCGAAGTCCGATGGACAAGGTATAATTTACAGTTGTTCCTACACATGGGCAGACATATCTAATTTGGGATAGCCACATGATAAATATATCTAGACATATTAACGGAAATGCTTATCATACCGTCATTAGAATTGTTATATTTTGGCACTCTTCAAGTGTCATGTCCACATCCAATATTGATAAAACGACAAAAAAATTGTATATTGTCCATGGCCATTGGTGTCCAAATGTTCACTTATTCTCATTGTCATTCGATGTAATATCTTCGTGGTATGTTTGTTTTGCGCTTATAGTAGGTCCATGTCACTATTCTGTTAAACCTATCATCTGATGATATACATGTAGCTCCTCAAGTTATCAAGACTTTTTTACATTCTTGTCTTTCAAAGGTTTGGGTTTGATCGTTCTGATGAAGTGCGCTCCGAACGCATCAAATTTTTAAAACTTTTTTTATCATTTACTAAAAATTATTTAGTATTATGATAAAGATAATAATCATAAAAATAATAATAATCATAAAAATAATAATAATGATAATAAAAAAAAATGATATTAATAATAATAATAATAATAATAATAATAATTTTAGTATTTATAGTAATAATAATAATAATAATAATAATAATAATAATAATAATAATAATAAAAATAATAATAATGATAATAATAATAATAAACAAGCACTTGCATTGGTAGAATTTAAAGGGAAATCCAGTACTACAGGATTATAACATGGCATTTTTCATATCAGATGTATTATCAGCCCAAGGTTCAATACCAGCCCAAGAGCCGAAGGATCGAAGGCTGATATTGACCAAGGGCTTATAAAACATCTGATATGAAAAATTACATGTAATGATCTTTTTATCATATGCTTCAATAATGGTGACAAATAACAGTTTTATATATTGCCCTTTTAAGTGGTTCTCAAGTAGAAGTTCCAAAAATGAAAAGTTTACGGACATCGGACGCCAAATGTTATACATCCGATATGAAACCTTTTTTTTTTGTTAATTTTAAATACAATTTATTTCCAATATCCTGTTACAATTACCTTAGCAGCCCATGAGAGCATACTTAGGGTCCCTGTGTTACATTTTCACTCCTGTCCAGAGAAAACAGGCGAGATAAATGTCCACTTTACTTAGAAAATTACATATTGTAGTTTTCTTGTATCAAATTAAAACCAAGTCAAACACACCCAACATAATGCATTAAATTGATCACACCCCAGCAGGCACACAACGTTGAACCAACGTTGAAAATATGTTGAAATTTGGTTGTAGCGTTGATCAACGTAAAATCAACGTTGTATCAACGTCAATCCTATCAACGTTTAAATCACGTTGTTGAATCAACGTTGATTTGTGGTTAAAAATATCAACGTTGAACTGTCAACGTTGAATCAACATTGAATTTAAGTTAATGCTTTCAATGTTTTGATAGGTTGAAATTATAACGTTGATAAAAGGTTTATTTAAGGTTAATGACTTTAAGTGTCGACCGAAATTTCAATCCAGATGAGATTGAATCATTTTATATATAATATACAACTTTGTAGAAATTATTGGGAATAAATGTTAATAATTTGGAATTCACTAGAACATGGTATTGTTTTACATATTGATTTTCATTATTGATTTCTCTTTTTGTTGATTTTTTTTTATTACTATATAGAAACCCCAAGTCAGGCCATAGATCTTCCGTGGGCTATTCCTGAAATATCCTCTCCAACATTGTTTTGACAAAGACAAATAAAATCCTTCCTGTTTAAATAATCACATTTTATTTATATTGCTTTACTGATGTTTTTGAATAAATTCAATGATTACTGTTGCATGTGTATATAAATCTTCAAATTTACACAATAAGAGCGAATTAATTAACTTACGCGAAAGAGATTTCTTTTTTAATTTGCGCATGCGTATGAGGCCGGCATTTCGAATTTATTTGCGCCAATATGATTACCACAACAAGTTAACAGTTGCTCGAAGCAGTGCAAAGTAAGTATAATTTTCATTCATTATTTGCTTTAATAATAGTTATATGATAATTTAATGTAAAACAGTATTGTAGCTGTAAATATTCGCTGTCCCCGCAAGTATGGCAAATAATTATAACCCTTTTTTGAAGTTCACCTATGTAATCTCAAACTCGATATTTTATATGTTGATGTAATTAAAAGTCAAAGATTTACAACGCATGGCATTCTTGACCTTGAAATACATTTAAAACAAGCAAATTATTTTCTCTGCATCAGAATAGATGTCACTCACAGCATGTATTCCGAAGATTAACTAATCGTGTGAAGCAATACGGCGGATAAGAAACACGTGTGACCATAACAAATTAATACACAATCTGACCAATTTCAAAGTGGTTTATTTGATACTTAATTATGATAAAGTCGAAATAGATGCTTGTTCAATTGACCGTACTGATTATTACAGCCCAAAAAAATTCAAGGAAATAGACAATATTCCTTTAATTTTAATATCTAAACATAACCCATATGCATGTATACGTAAAATTTAAAAAAAGACGCACCACGTCGGAAAGACTTGAATTTATTGCAATTTGAAGAAGAATGTAAACAAAGGTTCAAAGTTGAACTACTGCTTGAGTATAGTAAACATGCTGAAAATATTAATTGATGAAATATTTAAATATATAATGAAATATATCAATAAAATAAATTATACATGAATAATATTCATTTTGAATTATATGAAAGTAAATAAACTCATCATAGATACCAGGGTTGAAATTTTATATTTGAGCCAGACGCGCGTTTCGTCTACAAAACACTCATCAGTTACGCTCGAATCCAAAAATGTTAAAAAGGTCAAATAAAGTACGAAGTTGAAGAGCATTGAGGACCAAAAATTCCTATATGTTTTGCCAAATACAGCTAAAGCATCTTAAGGTGACCACCCAAAACATTATCTGCCGAAACGCGTTGTTTTATGGGTTTTATACTAACAACATAGGCGGGTCCCCCCTTTTGTGGGAAAAATTTGGTTGTTAATAAAGGGAATCACTAAAGCATGGCTGGAGCGGCCCCCTCTTAGGGCAGTCAGTGGACCAACCCTTGTGAAAATTTCGGGATCCGCCACTGAACAATATGAGTTGCTGTAAAGATCTCGGTGCTTGTGGGGCATTATTGTATCTCAAGATGAGAAACTGTCAAGATCTTGGTGCTTGTGAGGCCTTATTGTATCGCAAGATGAGTGATTGTCAAGATCTCGGTGCTTGTGGGGCATTATTGTATCTCAAGATGAGTGACTGTCAAGATCTCGGTGCTTGTTGGGCATTATTGTATCTCAAGATGAGTGACTGTCAAGATCTCGGTGCTTGCGGTGCAATATTGTATCTTAAGATGAGTGACTGTCAAGATCTCGGTGCTTGCGGTGCAATATTGTATCTTAAGATGAGTGACTGTCAAGATCTCGGTGCTTGTGGTGCATTATTGTTTCTCAAGATGAGTGACTGTCAAGATCTCGGTGCTTGCGGTGCAATATTGTATCTTAAGATGAGTGACTGTCAAGATCTCGGTGCTTGTGGGGCATTATTATATCTTAAGATGAGTGACTGTCAAGATCTCGGTGCTTGTGGGGCATTATTGTATCTCAAGATGAGTGACTGTCAAGATCTTGGTGCTTGTGGGGCATTATTGTATCTCAAGATGAGTGACTGTCAAGATCTCGGTGCTTGCGGTGCAATATTGTATCTTAAGATGAGTGACTGTCAAGATCTCGGTGCTTGCGGTGCAATATTGTTACTTAAGATGAGTGACTGTCAAGATCTCGGTGCTTGTGGTGCATAATTGTTTCTCTAGATGAGTGACTGTCAAGATCTCGGTGCTTGTGGTGTATTATTGTTTCTTAAGATGAGTGACTGTCAAGATCTTGGTGCTTGTGGTGCATTATTGTTTTTCAAGATGAGTGACTGTCAAGATAAAATAAATTGAAATGCCATTAGCTTATTGTGAGATCTTCAAACTATGATTTAGGATTAAAATTAATTTTAAGCCCTTGGTCCCAGAGGCGAACCTTTTGAGGGAAAAATTGGTTGACTGTATAAGAAATCACTGAAGCATGACTAGAGTGTGACCCCTCTTATGCACTCAATGGACCCCCTTATAAAAATTTCCAGATCCCCCATTGATTCCAGAATCTTGTTGGATTCTGCAGGACAAATTTCCCTTAATGCTACAATAAAAATAATTGAACTTAAAGATGCTCAACCAGATTGTGAAAGGTTTTGGAAGTCCAAATTTTGTAAGCGTTTCACACATATGAAACTTTATTTTTCTATTTCAAGTTATAGAAGGAGTTGTGACAATTTGGAAATACTGCACATAAAAGTGTCTTTTTTGTAGATTTCTTCACCAATAAACCCATGTCTGAAAAATACATGACGGGTAAAAAGAATAAACATGCCTTTGGTGGTTCAAGCTTTTTTTAAATAATAAGAGGTGAGTATTAAAATATATATCATTGTTTTCCACATTGAAAATTGTGTGAGATTTTGTCACAATTTCTTTTAAATGTGCTCTAGCATCATTGTCTACTAAAATCTATAGGTTTTTTGTATTAAAAATTATTTGTTTTATTATATCTGAACTCAAGTTTAAAAAAAGCACATGGTTGCTCTCAATAAATATTTTTGAAAATAACAATATCATTGCACAGAGATTATTTGTTCACATATTACATTAGTATTCTTTATTTGAGCTGCATAATAATATTAACCTAGTTATGATAAAGATAGTATAATATGTTTTTTTTCTGTTGCAGATGCTATAGCTACAAGTCACAAATGTGCAACATGGACAACAATATGGATCTAGTGTGCAATATACCTAAAATACGCCCTGAAATATCGGGAATGTGTCTAGCAAAAGGACTAACATTTTAAATAAAATTAAGTATTCAGTTTGTGTTTGTTTGAAATTGTAAGATGCATATGTGAGCAACATGTTATATAATTACTGTTTTATGTCACAAACATATTTTGTGTATGAACAAACATGATCCTGTCTATTACAAAAATGTATGGCAACTGACACTACAATAAAGTTTAAGATTATCTATGCCTGGTAGGGTTAATAAGTTGTGCCTGTTCTTCTTGTCAAGTCTTGTATCATAAACACCAGATTCAGAAGTGAGTGGTCTCATTATATTAGTATCATAATTACCAAAACAAAGGGAATGACTTATTTCTCACTTAATCATAAAATTTAGCGAAATACAAAAAGGGAAATATTGGAACAGGCAGAAATCTCCTAAATAATGAACTCTGCAACAGAATACATGCACATCAACCACCGACACATGACTACTACCATTTAGTACATATAGTTTTGTGAAAGTTTTATTACACATAAAATGGCACTGATGGATATAATAAGTGGTAATTATTTCAGCTGTTGACAACCCACAATTTAACCAATGTTCAAAATCATATTCTCAACATTGACCACATTTCGAGATTCAACTTGCATTAACGTTAATCCTAAAACAGTCTATCGGGGCCCAAATCCTAACTATTTTCAACATACACTGACCACAGTTCAACCAACATTCGACAGGTTTTCAGCATACACTGACCACAGAACAACCAGCATTCGACCTGATTTCAACATACACTGACCACAGTTCAACCAACATTCGACATGTTTTCAGCATACGCTGACCATAGATCAACCAGCATTCGACCCAATTTCAACATGCACTGTCCACAGTTCAACAAGCATTCGACCTGATTTCAACATTTACTGACCACGGTTCAACCAGCATTCGACCTAATTTCAACATACACTAACCACAGTTCAACCATCATTCGACTTGTTTTCAACTTGCATTGACCAAATTTAGACCAAAATTCAACCTATTTTCAACGTTGCAAGTTGACGTTGAATCAACGTTATGTTTTCAACGTCATATCAATTTTCAATCCAACACTACTTTTCAACATTGATTCAACGTTGAAATCTGACGTTTATTCAATGTTGAATCAACGTTGTTGTGCCTGCTGGGACCAAATCTATAGACAGTGATACCTGTCTACAACAAGGTAAGTTTTTAATCAGGTTATATACATTGCTCTATTTTGTTTATAAACATTGGAAATGTAATAAGAAGGTAAACAAAATCACCTTCTTTTTCTAATTGAATGGGGGCCTCGGTGGCCGAGTGGTCTAAGTAGTTACTACTGTAATCACTAGCCAGTCAACACTGAGGTTGTGAGTTCGAACCCCGCTCAACTCGACTCCAATCTTAATTGACTAGGATTGTCAGTTTTCCTATCGAAGGTCGGTGGTTTTCTCCGGGCACTCCGGCTTCCTCCACCAATAAAAACTGGCCACCACGAAATAGCCCATAAGCGGTGCTTAAAAGTGGCGTTAAAACACCAAAAATCAATAAAATCAAATCTAATTGAATGTATCGATACGTTTACTTAACAAAGTAAAAGTACACACTTGACCTAACTATTACATATCTAGAAGTTCCAAAAGTGAAAAGTTTACGGACGTCGCACGCCAAATGTTATACATCCGATATGATATCTTTCTTTCATATGCCTCAACAGAGGGGAAAACAACAGTATACTATATTTTTATATTGACTATAAAAACCAATTCAACAAAACATAATGAACAGTGTTTGGAAAAGTCAACATTTGTAAAGTAACTTTCTTAATTATGCTGGAAACTTTGATTGATTGTATCATTTATTGTATTATTTGTTTTTTTTTTTTGGTTTTTTTTTGTTTTGTTTTTTTGAATTTTTCATAAAATATTTTCCTGTTTCCTATAATAACTGTTTTGTACCCTACTTTGTTATGTTTTTCACTGAAAACGTACTATTGAGGTGTATTTTCCGGAATTTCCCGAGTAATGCCGGAATGCCATGCGATAACGTTACGGAAAGGCATGTGATAATAGCTGGAAGCATGTGATAAATTTTTCATACCAGCCCGCTAAGCACCAATTCGGAAAATACGGAATTCACGTAAATTCAATGCTATTATCATACTGTAAAAATTATTAATTATTTACTCTAAGTATATGATAAGCACAATTATTACTAAGAGTAAGGCACATTTTTCTCTAATTTTATTTAAATATTTAGTTACATTGACTGATTTAATATTCAATGTTTTTCATATTCATCTGTGTACAAATTGAAAATTCTCCCCAAAAACCAAGTCATGGTAATCATTAAGGTTTTCTGCAATATTAATATTGCTATATTGTAGGGAAAACGGTACTATTTATTCTGCCATAGGCGACAATACTAACATTTTCTAAATTTACCACTTTTTATAATAAAAACCTGGATAAAACAGTTATGTGTGGTGTTAGTACTTTATTATTCTATTTTAAAAATTGAAGCCAAATAGTATCATGACCAATTTCCAACGGAGCTTGTTTATGTTATCCATGCCCACCGTCATTTTACACCAAATTTATGAAATTTTGGAAGCCTTTTCGAATAATTCTCTAGAAAATATTTCAATAGGTTTTAAAATTTATATTGTAAATATACACACTGCAGTTATTCATAGATAAATAAAAAAATATATTGTACCCTTACATCCAATCACAGCGCTCCTAATTTGACTTCCTTCACCTGCCTTGGGTACACAAAAGGCCAACCTAATGCTGGGAAAATGTAATAGTACCGTTTTCCCTGTATGGAAAAACAGCTCCCCATGATTTATAAAAGTCTAGAAACGTCAAATTTTCAGTATTGTTTTATTTCCAGTCGCGTTTCTCATTCCAATTTAAACATCTTGAAAATGTTTTATATATATAAAATATGTATTTTAGTGATGGAATTAGGTCTTGGTGTAACTACCATTACATCAGATACAACTGCTATGACTGTAGCCGCAACAAGTATATTTAAAACTTTGCTGGACGATTTGTCTTCGGTTAGCTTTCGTAATGGCGTCGTCCTACTCAGTAAAAGAGTTTGATAATTTCCCCTGTATGTGATTCTCTAACACAATCAAATTCAAAAGTTGTCAAATCTTACCAGAAATTGAATATAGGAGAATCTATATCATATAGTTACTTTAAATTGAGATTCACAAATTTGCATATTTCCGATTAATCAAAACTTTATTCAACACTACATGTTGCTGTTGAAAGCAGTTTTATAAAATTGTTAAAAATTTGTGAAAAAACATTTCTGAAAATTGCATTTTTTTTTTTTTGCATTTCTTTAGGCGTTATAATATAATGACCTCCTTAGAAAGCCGACTATTGTTAGAATGTTAAAGTTCACATACATGTATTTGGCTTTGACACTGCATGCGTATTTAAGTAAATATTTAAAGATAAACCTGGTGTGAAAAAAATTATGAGGGAATTGCTTCTTACACATTTTCTGAAAATCTGTTTAAATCTATGATTACTGCAACAAAAACTTACGTTACTGATATAACAATTCAGACACTATTATTACTGTAAATTCAGAAATTATTGCGTGCGTTTATTATTGCGATTTTGTCATTTTAGACTAAAATGCGATTTTAATTTTTGCGATATTGAGAAAAATCTTGTTTAATTCATATAAAAAATTTCTAAATGCGAGTTTAAATTATTGCGATTATAACCCTGTCGCATTTTTCGCAATAATAAAAACATTGCAATAATTTCTGAATTTACAGTAATACAAATTATGTAGGAATAGGCTTCTATAAGTAAGGATAATGATATATCAAAAGTTATACCTTAATACACTGGATCATTCTGTAGCCCATAGTTATGCACCTTTATACAAAACTAAGGTTATATTTGTTTGGAAATTCCGATAATCGTTATTTTCAGCTAATCTATGTTATTCCTTGCGCATGAAGAAATTTTAATCGGTTCAAAAAGTATATATATATGCACACATATAAATGTATTAAAGAACCACTTCAAAACTTCCGGTATGTATTTTAAATGTCCCTTTTCAAGAAAATCCGCATTTGGCTCTTTTTAGTTGGTTATATATATGATTGTATTTGATATCATTCCTATTACTAAGCAACGTTTAATTGAGAAATGTCAATAATTGAGCAAACATTCCCCGTAGAGATTGATTAATTCTTCGTGTCTTATGCGGTGTTGAACTCTGAGTTGAGAATAACTTGTAGTGTATTTTGGCGCTGAATTTATTTGGACCTTGGACTTTTTTACTTCTATTTTGTTGTTAAATACATGCAGATCATTTAATGAATCCACATGAAAATTTTCTTACTGAAGTAAAATACTTTTTTTATCTGTTTTAATTAAGCGTGTTCTTGCTTATACTCATACTATCTAATGTACTCATCTACAGCCTAAATACTAATATTTTTCACATTTTTAAAGTTCAAGTTTTTACTTAACGTACAACGAGTCCCCTTTGATACATGTGACACACCTTGTTTGCTATTGTTAAAAAAAAGACAGCATGATCATGTATTTAAGATATTGACAGTAAATTATGTCCGGTGGTGAATGTGTCCTGTAGTGTTTATTTTCTAGGTTATATTGCCTAACATGATTTGTGAGGTAGACAAATCCAGCTTTACAATGATCAAATTGACTTTTTGTGTACATAATTAGGCAGATTGATCATATTTCGACTTCATTAATTCACTGCTTTCATTTGGATTAAATTGGACTGAAAAATGCTTTTTTTTTCAGACACACACGCTTTTTACTTTGCGTAGACGTGCGTAAAATGTATTTAGGTATAAATATTGATTTTACTATCAGTAAGTTTAAACCATACTAAATATTACACATATTTAATTTCACGGTACTACAATTGGTCGATATCTATAGTTTGGCATTGCACAAGGTCATGTTTTTCTATGAATGTTTATGACGTCTTTTCACTAAATCCATTGAATGTTGGATGTGTACTGATTTATATTTTAGTCTTAGATACATGATTTTTTTTATAAGTTGTTTTTGGCTTTGAACAAGCTGTCAGTAACTGCAAATACTCTCAGATCTGTACTTAGTTTTTTGTTGTTGTTGGGATGTATAAGTACCCGTCCACGTGCACTGTGTATTTTTGTTAGATGTATTTCTATTTGTACCCATCTGA